AATTTATTTTCTTCCACCCAAATTCTATTTTTACAATCAAACGGACCCTAAATTCTTATTGTTTATAATATCGAATCATCTTCCAAATTGCATACAAAACATGCATGTATATATCCAAAGTGAGACAATAATCACCATTAACAAGAGAAAGTGTGTCACAACGCAACCCTACATTTTATAGTACTAAAAACGAATGAACATAAAATGTGACAAATTTAGAATCACTGCTTAAAATAAAGCTCTACAAGCTTCTTCAAAGTGTCAAAAACACTTGTAAATGGGTTTAGTTCATTAGGAGCTTTTAGTTTTAGACCAGGAAATTGGTTGGTTAGAGATTTTTGCATACTAGACACAGACATCATTGCTGCAAGTTGATTATTCAACATAACCTCGCAATCAAGTAGATAGGGGCGGAGCCAGAAAATGATGTTAGGATGGGCTGAAACTTAAATTTTTTTAATGAACTTACGCCACCAAAAACCGGTTTTGGAGCTATTCTCGTGGCATTCACAATAAAAAGTATACGACACTCAATGGGAAAAAAAAGTCTAGATGTCTCACATTAATATATTTTACTAAATCTTTGTATTTTTTTACCAAACGCTTACTTTAAAAAATATAAACTAATTGAATCATAATAGAAATAAACAAATGAAAATTCTAAAAAATACTGAATAAGTACTCTTCTAATAACTTTTACAACCAATCTTTTCGTACAACTGAAACTTGATTGAAACATGCAATCAATAATATATCACTATAATTCATATGTTATTGTCTCAAAATGTTATTTGGCGTTTTAATCGATCTTCTATATCATTACATTTCAAAGTGAGTGAAGAATCTCAATCAAAGTAAGAAAGCCAACTAAGAATTTCGAGGGTTAAAGAAATTAAATTTAATTCACGTCCATTTTCTGCTCGATTTCAAGAATATACTCGTATCTATATTACTTCATAAATAGATAAATTTTATCAAATATTCTTTTATTGTCAATATCAAATCTATAGTAAGTTATTTATTTTAATCATAATATCTATTTTATGGTCAAAATAAGTAATTTTTTTAAAATAAATATAAATAAATAATAAATAAAAACAAACGCAGAAATAAAAAATAATAAATACTTTTAAATTTTGAAAAATATGTAGTGTCCTTAACTATTAAAACAAGTAATTTACTTTTAAATTTAATCAATACAAATTATCTACAATAAAATTTACTTAATAATTATGAGTAAATTTTAGTCAAACATACATTAAATAGAATATCTAATTTGACAATAAAATATTCACATTTTATGAATTTCATGAAATGAGTAATTAATAATTAGTGTTTTTATACAATTTAAATAATTGAACATTGGACTTGGGTTAAGATTCAAGCTAGAGTTGGACAAATGCTAATATTTGGGTCAAAACTCTATACTTTCTTCTTAATTTTTTATATGGGTTGGGGAGTAGTGGGCTAATGCTAACATTTGGGCAAAAACTCTACACTTTCTTCTTAAATTTTTATATGGGCTGGGGAGTAGTGCTGGGCTACAGCCCAGCATACCCCCCCACTACCTCAGCCCATGCTTGTAGAGTGTCCTTGATCTTTCCAGGATCGTACCCAAAGTTTGCCAAATAACTGCTCGATGAATTCTGGTCCTCTAAGTTAGGCATTCGCGAATATACCCGAGATGTTGGTACGTGAAGCATAATTGATTAGCAAGTGAGAATTTTAAGAAAGCTTGAAAAGTACACTTACAAATAGATTTTTTTTTTATAAGTAATCAAATATTTTATTAATCATGGATAATACATAGGAAGTGTATTATCAATTAATACAAGACAGAAATGACATGAAATTGAGCAACCCGTCTATACGAGTAATAGTCACATCATTAAACCAAATGTACAGTGTCAGATAAAACAATTCTTTAATCTGCTCTGTTGTCCGTGTATTATTGTCGAAACAACGACTATTTCGCTCCTTCCAAATACACCATATGATACATCTTGGGATAAGGTCCCAAACAATCTTGCTATATTTATTACGAAATCTTCTTCCTCATGCCTTCAAAACATCCTCCATAAGCTGTGGAAACACCCAATCTATGTGTTGATAAGCCAAAATATCGTTCCATAGGGTGCGGGCAATGTCGCAATGAATAAACAAGTGGTCAATCATCTTCCCATTCCTCCGACACATATAGCACCATTTGGTAACATAGAAACCCTTGCATCGGAGGTTATCCACCGTTAACACCTGTCCCTTCACAACTGTCCATAGGAATACTTACAAATAGACGACTTTGAAAATATACAATTTTTTATTGATGTATGAGCGGTAACGTCCACCTACGGCTCCGTGAGAAGGGAGGTGGACAGAAATGGCCTTGTTGTACCTCACTCTCGTCTTCAATGGGGTCTGCTCTTTTTTGTATGCCACCTTTAACGCGGGGGAAAGGCCGTAAAGATCACGAAGTACTTGATGGGACTTAATGATTGTGAATGTTTCATCGAAAAAGCTCAAAGTGCATCGGCATCAAAGGTTGCGGTCGCCAAATAGGGGGTTGGCCATGTCATCAAGGAACGAACCCCAAAACCGAGAGTGAAAGGGAGGGTATCGGAAGTTAGGTTGGAAGAGAGCGGAACTAAACCTACTGCTAGAAAGAAAGCTACCAAAGTTACTTATTTTGATAGTAAAATTATAAAAAGAGTAACTTTCTGACTCAAAAGTAAGTAATCCCAATATGTTTGGAAAAAAGTTACTTTTTTAACTCTTTACTATTTTTCAAGCTTATCCAAACATGCTTAAGCTCACATTGAATTCATAACATTCTGAGAAAACAAGGTGGTCGACACAAAGTACTAACATTCCCATCAAGGATTCGTGATTGCTGCACAAATGGTTTACGATCGTTGTATACTAGGAGTAATTATCCACGGAGGTCACAGCAGTTATCGACGGGCAATTTTACTTTAGGATATCGTGCTATTTCGAGACTCGATCGGACGATAAGTTTTATATTTCTGCATTTTATTGTTCTGAACGTTACTTCAACTTATTATTTTTCCAACATTATCTTTCGAATCGCCACTGTACAGACAAGAGTGAGCTACAGTTGGTCTTCCGATATTTTTGTGAACTCAATGTTTATATCACCTTTGCTATCTACTATCTTGCACTTGTGATGCATAATGAATGCGGACACAAAGTCTTGATCTGAGCACTCAAGTTACATCATGAGCATGCTCATAAAGTCGCGCTTTGAGAGCTTACATATGCCGAATAGTAAGTGCACTAAAAAAAAGTCATGTACCTAGCATGCATTTAAGTTGCTCCACATGTGCGCAACAGATATGCGCACAAAGCCACGCTCCAAGCACATACTTAAAGCTACATTAAGTGCGTACATGAAGCTGCAGCCTGAACGCACGCAGAGCCGCACCTCAAGTGCACACACAAGTCTACCCCCGAGCTTGCATACAAAGTCGTTACCTAAGAGCACACTTACACATCACTAAATGCGTATATATAATTTTCCTCCAAGTACAAAATTAAGCTGCATGCATATACAAAGTCATGTCTCAAGCATACAATTAAGCCACACCTCGAATTCGCAAACAAGTTGTGCCCTGACGTGCACATGAATCGTGCCTTGAGCACGCACCAAAGTAATTGAAACATAGGCATAAGCTAGAACGATGAAGTGCTTTCCAAAAAATAAGGTTCTCGATTACAAAGTAAAACCTAGTCTAAAAACTCTTTCCCAACGTCTAATCCTCGAACATCATCAACCTCATCCTTACTGTCTCGATCATCAAGATCTTCTCCATTCGTGGGCAATTGACCCCTAGCATAGTCACTCTTAAGGTCCTCAACCTCTAAAAACCCTTAAACTCTTCAATGGACTCACCTCCAGTATTAGGACTCTCGGGGCCAACCACGTTCACCTCCACTTCATTCCCCATAGCATCCTTATTGATCTTTCCATTACTTAGATCAGCAATCCGGCATTGCTTTGGCAGGCTTTCCCCTAAAGTAAATGGGAAAATTTTAGCACTGTTATCAGATAAGATAAACTAGATTACAGTACGTGAATGCAAGAAATTTGAACACGGATAGACTTTTTATCATCACAGAAAGACAGTAAATTGAAATTCCAAAGTCGTTGTTTCCAAAATAAGAACCGATTAAAACAGCAAGGATGTTACCGCCAATGTTCTTTGCAGCAGGATGTATTAGGACTTTGATCTTTAAAATTCATTAAATGGAAAGACCAACAAATGAAAAAATATTCCGAATATCATACACATTCTGCAAAAACCACTTGTTTCATCATACTATTTCATAATAGTACACCAAGATTTTCACAGTAAATTTCAGCAAAATGTTGATTCCAAACTCAACCAACAACAGCTCCAATTCTCGGTTCTTGACAATTAAATTTATCATCACTCGAGTCTCCTGAAAAATATCAAAAATAGACATGGGTTCACCTGGAGAAGGGAGGATAAAGTGATTGAACAAGGATCGGCGGTGATTGCGCAATCATTTCTTCCCTCTTGATTCTTCACCCACAATTGTTATTTTAAGTTTACTAAAAAAAAACACTGCAAAATTACAGAAATACAGATTGATGAGCGATGAGCTTTAAAACTCTAAACTAGACAACTGTGATGCTCTTTGAATTAGCCTCCACCCCCACTCCCACGGGAAAAACTAACTTCCGTGGCACGGTCGCACCTCCGTCGAATGGGGAGCCACGTAGGACGGTGCAACCACCCACGACCGAAGTTTTTCTCCACTCCCACTCCCAGCTCATATCGTCAAGGATACTAAACCATCACACTTGAGAACTCCACGATTAAAGTTTCTTGAAATCTTCCTTTTTTTCTCCAAACTCGTTTTTTAAAAAATAATAATAAATAAATAAATATATATATATATATATATATATATATTACAAAAATTATAAATATACATTCTTCAAAAATTATAAATATTACAGGAAATTATCATAATTAAACATCATTTCAAAATTTTCCAATTCTAATGTTGGAATTAAAGAGTACATCTTTACAAAGAAAATGAAAAATAAAGGCAAAATTCTTGGATGATTATTACTACTTAGAAGAGACTATTATTTTGATTTCCAGCGGAAAGTAGATTGAAAAACGAATCTTCTTTGTGTCTGTCATTCTTCTCTGTTCTTTCTCCGTTGAAACCTGATTGGTCGGACGGTGATGGTACTGACCGTTTGATGGATACAAACGCCACCTTCTTCGTTGCAGTTTTAACTTTTACAGGGCATGGACTCAGAGATGCAGTCGAACTTGTGGGCAATGCAGCTTCTGAAGAAAACAATGTATCATTTGAATAACTTTCAACCCGCTTTTTTTCATGGTTAATCTTGGCTACTTTTACTGGTGACGAAATGTTACTGTTTCTTTCAATACGGGTAGAGGGTTCTTCGAGAGAAACTGTATTCCCACTAGACGGGCCTGGAGTACCCGAGGCAACTTCCGCCTGCTTTTCGTCACCATTTACCAAAGATCTAGTATTCACTTCTTGAATCGGGCCTTCTTCCGAAACATGCTCAGTATCCATTGTACCGGGGTTATCGACTACGCAAGGAAAGGAAAGGTTGAAACAAGTTGTAGCACATAAAAAAAAAATCATATTCAGTAAGAAAATTAAAACAATTGCAGATAGGTGGATAATGAGAAAGTTCATCAACTAAACGAAATAGAATGAAAGTGGAATAAAGTTGTCGCGTGAAAATTTCATATATTTAGTGCAAGTTCAGTATATAGTGTATAGAAAGACTGAAATAATGAATATAGAGCCCATTTGACATGACTTTAGATAAGACGAGGAGTTTTTAAAGGAAACAAAATTGACCATATGTAACTTCCACTAAAAGTTCTTCTGGAAGAGAAAACTCTTTAAAAATTCGTTTCTAATAACCAATTAAGGTAATTCTACAAAAAATATAAGCAAAAGTAGAATTCTTATCAAACGAGCCCATGGTGTACAAAATTTTAGCTGCTACTTTTTTCCCATTTCTTAATAATATTGTGTATTATCTACTTCACCTTAAAAAAGTACCAGTAGATGCTCAAAAATTTCTAGGGAATGACACAAAAAGTCATTTAGGTCTGCTGTTACCTCCAAGTAAAACCTCAATATTTTCATATAGTATTTTGGAAGACCTTAAAGAGACATCTTCCACGATACCCTTTTCTTGGCTTTCACTTTCACTTGTATTCGTCCTCTCAACTAGGAGATACTTGTCTGTCTGCCAAACGCATTCTAGAAAAGTATTAGCTTGCTCTTTGGCTGGATGATATTCTCTAAAAACCTGCAAATTAAGGGAATAGAGAAGAGGAATTTTGTTAAATGAACTGCAGAACAGGGTGGAAAAATCAGAAGAAAGGCATAAAAAAATAAATCATGCAGACAAATGAAAAATAATTTACTTGAGTAGTTAAATAAGGCAACTAACCTCGAATCCTTTTTGATTTAATTTTATAGTTTGTTCCTTTTGAGAAAGAGAGGAGACAGTATTGAACACATGAACAACATCCAGAAGAATCTGCAAAAAAAAAATTAGAACAAAATTAATTGAAAAGAAAACTTTACTAACTTAGAAATTCAATTAGAACTTTCAAGATCACAATATTGCTAAATTAATTACATTTCAAAGGCCAAGCACCGATTCATTCCATTCCTTCCCCCAAATAGAACAAGAAAAAACAACGTAGATTTAGTTAATTCCAGAATATTATTTATATTTCAGTTCGAAGTTGTTCAAAAACATCAGTCTGAAGGACCTTTTATACACCATATACAATTTCAGCAATTTAAACATAAGATAGTCTTGTGGAATAAGAAATCCTTACTTGTTGAACCAATACTCGAAGGCGTGCAAGCACAGCTAACATTGTTACTGAAAATCCCATGAAAAATGATCGAGCAAGCAGCTTGGATACCTCCCTTTCGATTGTTAAGAGAAAAAGTTCATATACTGGCTAACAGCAACATGAGGGCAGATAGAAACTTGACAGCAAATTGACAGGGGTCTTAGGTAGGAAAACCCTCACAGTTCATTAAACAGTGGTAAGAAAATAAACACAGTGTGATGAAACGGAGAATTAAACTGTAACATAAAAGAATATGATAGATGACTAAAACGATAGCTCTACCACACTCTTTGGATCAGAAATATATGATTGGCGAAAGTTTTAGAGAGAAACTACAACAGAAAAAGTTGGTGGGATAAACACACATAGAAATCACTATGCAAAGCATTTTGTCAAATGATCAAGTGTTTTCTTATATCAAATATTGAAGAAATGCTCTCTAGCTGACAATTGGAGAACCAATATATCCAATAAGCATGATGTATGTAGGTTAGTTTATGAGAATTTCAGAGACATGCACCCAATTTTACGACAAATCATACAAGACCTATAAAATATTCTGAAATTTAAAATGATTCTTGCATCTGGACGCAAAACATTAAACAATGTGAACGGTTTTAAAACTTGCACCGAAAGGATACATAGCAGCCTTCATCATTGGCTCAACCATCTGTGATGGGGTGAGAAAAATGTTAGAAAATTACACATTGGCTTAACCATGTGATTGAGAAAATCATAAATTAAAGAGACCGATCCACCTGTGACAATAGGCGTGCAACTCCTAAAAGCCGCTCCAGAACATTATACTTTCCACTATCACACCTTTTCCTCTTCAAACTAAAGACATAACATAAATGATCAAACAAATAAGATAAAATATGTAATGCGAAACAAATTAAATTCATATTTCATCACGTAAACCCTGAAAGAAAATATTTCTAATTTGTTTCAACTTTAGTATGGATCCTTCCTAAATCAACTAAAGTATAAGTAAGAACAACAGTCCATGCCATAATTGCCTATATTTACAAGTAGAACACAAAAACCACAAGAAGCTTGCAACAGGGAATGGTGAGGAAAACGATAAGTTATCAACGTGTCCTACACTCGTGTCTTTACAGGACCGCAAAGTAATAATTTATACTTCAAACAAAACTCGGATATCAAACTAGTGATCTGTTCAACATGTAAGCAGAAAATACACTGACAAAGTTCTCTCCTACAATATCCATGCATATTCCAAATGACAAAGGCTGCACATTAATCAGATTTTGTTGCATCAGTAAATTCCACAACCCACATATGCTTCTCTCAGTAGAGTGCTCTGCAGCCACGTTTAAGTGTATGACTATAATATACAAAATTCTAAAAAAGAAAAGGTAAAAATGCACATAATACCTTTCCAAAAGCTGCACCTTTTGCTTAGGTCTATTCCCATTGATTATGAGAAAACAGGCATTCAAAATCTCCTCCATACTTGCTGATTTCAGAAGCTTTAAATCCCTTCTAACCTACCCATTTAAAAAGAACAAAACATGCATCAATCAGCAATTACAGGAAACTCAAACACAGTAATGGACAAGTATATTTATTACGCATGAGAAGTAAAATGCAAGCAACCTTTAGAAGATATTGAAAGTAAGAACATCTTCTATGTTGATTTTTGTTTTTGTAGACAATTCTCTCAAGAATCCCACATTCTGTTTGGAGCTGAACAATAAAAGACTTTACTCTCTGCTCGGTTGTTTCAATCTCTGAACCCATTTGTATTTAACTGCAACAGAGAAATCTTACATTCAAAACCACAAGTGGGAAGGCAAAAATAATAAATAAAAACAAATAAATAAATTACAATATCCATAAACCCATTAAAATTATCATCAATTCTAGTCAAACTCAATTGGGTTCACTCTATTACAGTGTTATAATCATTAACCTCTCTTTAAGGATGTACCTAGAAAAATATGTTACGGAGCCTGATGTCCAATTTTTGCAATTCTAAACAAAACCACCAAAACCAGTTAGTGACGGCAGTGTACCAGGCGCCCATATTCTTTTGCTATATCGGAATCATAGTCAAAATCAAACTCAGAGAAAAATTCACGGTCTGTTTCAAAAATTAAATGGCAATGGATGGCTAACTATGAGATATAACCAAGTTAACAGTAAAGAAAAAAAGAATTAATAAGGAAATAAAAGCACTTCAATCACGAAACTATTGTTATGTGCAAAGAAACATCATAACCATGCTACTCTTAACACTTCAGATAGACAAAAAGCACAAAGTTTAGTCTTTCAGATAGTTGCAAGCCAATAGATTACAGGAAATAGAATACCCATAAAATCAAATCCAACAATGTAGCAAAGCATAATCCTTCATATTAAAGGCACTCTCTCTCGCCCGCGTGCGCACACACAGAAAGATACTGAATTCATTTGTGTTACCTTTTTGACGCCCTCTGAATAAAAGAAACAAATTATTATATGAATCTTTAGTTCCCGTACTTACTGAAAATTTAAAGTTGAAAAACCTTGAATCTGTCCTTTTTTGGTTTCTTTCTTTCCTATCGTTTAGGGTTTTCTGTTTAGTACCAGTAAAAACAGAAAATTTAAGGCAAATTCAAGGATGAAAAGAGATATAGGAATAACCAAACAAAGAGCAGGTCATGGGAGAATACGGAGACGGGGAGACGGGAGACTGGAGAAAAGAGGTTTGTGTTTAATTTGGGCCCTTAGCCCATTTTTACTGGGCCTTATGTGGTGGGGGCTTAATTAGATTTAGGTTGGGCTATTTGGGCTACCCTTTTCCAGGTTTGAACCCATCTACCAATTCCAGTTAGGAGATACGCTGACTTTGGGATCCTTTTGAAAAATCATTATAATAACATGGATCAAAACATAAATACTGTATACTTGTTTGGTCACGATTACTTCTAAATTACATTTCTCTCTATCTTATTTTTAACTATACATTTTTCAATAAAATAATATTACACGTGAATCCAAAATTTTTCTTTATTTTTTAACCACACATTTTCTGTTAAAATACTATTTCAAAATATATTTTAGGCACCAAAAAAAAAAAAAAAAAAGG